TGGTGGCTCAGTGGTTAGAATGCAGTATTGCAGGCTAATTCTGCCGACTGCTAGCAGTTCGATTCTGATTGGCTCAAGGTTGACTCAGCCTTCCATCCTTCCAAGGTCGGTAAAAATGATGATCCACATTGTTGGGGAAAATATGCTGACTCTGTAAACCCTTTAGAGAGGGCTGTAAAGCACTGTGAAGCAGTATATAAGTCTAAGTGCTATTGCTATTAAGGTATTGGTTTCCAAACTTTTTCACAAAGGTTATTGTTAATGAATGCATTTGACACCACATCTTTTTGGTTTTAGTTCTGTAGAAGGCCTACCAGAGCTGGTTCTATGCCTACCCATGCTCCAGGAATGGATAATATTTGGATTTGAATTGGCAGAATGAGGTTCCTTACATTTTCTCTGTGGAGGGTGATGATGGGACCTATGCTTGGAGGGAGAAAAGCAAAAGCAAAGCCAGAGGCTCTACAGGGTGTCCATTTGTTCTACTGGGTAAAAGAAAAGAAAAAGCAAACAGTGCAATATGAGCCAATCAACTTTACCACAGAGCTACTTCTGTCCCATGGAACCTTTTAATACTTTAGCTATATTCTCAGCTTCAGAATCTACACTTAAAAAAAGAATCAGAATGGTATTTTCAGTGCCAAAGCTAATAGTCAGTGTTCCATTATAAACTCAAATTTGAGGTTATATTTATTTGAAATGGTTATTTCTGACAAGAACAACTACAGAATGAGTCCCAGTTCTACATTCTTCACTCGTCTTGAGTAAAATGGGCTTTCATTCTCTGTAGTAATTTCTTAGAATACACCCATGTGTCCCATGGACATTTACATACGTGCGTAATGGATATGGTATATATCCCAACATGACTGCACTTAGTAATATGCAATATATATCGGTATGCATATTATATATGTATGTGTGTGTGTTCGCGCTTGTGTATAATACTTGTCTCAAATGTTACACATTTTTCAATACTAATTTTTTCTTTTTTACTCGATGCTGGCATCTGTCTCAGGAGAAGAGGCTGCTTTGCTTGCCAGCCTAAACTCAATCAACCATGATCTAATTCTGTCCCCCACCCCGTTGTTTAACAATTCTACTATTGGGATCTCTAAAATTGAGGCCGGCCTGGTAACCATTCACCTGTCTACTCTGAGCATCACGTTTTTCAATTAAGCATAATAAATATTCCAGAAAAACTCTGCTGACTGTTTTCTTTATTAGGCCTATCAGCTTGGATTAAAAGAACATTTTTTTTTCACCAGATGGCTGAAAAAATGCTGTTGTCCAGTGGAAGTCTAGTCATGGAAAGTTCAACTTTTTGAGAGGCTTTTTGATTTCCATTTCAAGGCAAGAGCCCAAAAGAGGTTTCCCCACCACTCTCATCTAGAATAAACTCCATGCATCAAATTTGGAGGGTAGTTTATTGTGGCAACTGGTATCAGTGTTTAAAAGGCGCCTATGGAAATGCAATAGGAAAGGGGTCTTATTTTCAAATTGTATTTTGGAAAATATATGACAACAATATGGTCACCAAAACAATTAAATCTAGTTTACCCTTAATCAAATGACTTTGAGATTATGGCATTCTCTTTTGTTAAGAATCCAAAAATGCATTAGCAGTAGCACCAATATTTATTTCAAGTGATTTTTAATACATTTTAACATATCTTATATATAGACCATCAGGAGTGAAATCCAGCAGGTTCTGACAGGTTTTGGAGAACCGGTAGCAGAAATTTTGAGCAGTTCGGAGAACTGGCAAATGCCACCTGTGGCTGGTCCCAGAGTGGGGTGGGAATGGAGATTTTGCAATATCTTTCCCCTGGAGTGGGGAGGGAATGGAAATTTTGCACTATCCTTTCCCTGCCACACCCACCAATCCACACCATGCCCACCAAGCCACACCCACAGAACCAGTAGTAAAAATATTTGGATTTCACTACTGAAAATAGACTGTATTTTTTCATTACTTGGCTGGCCTATGAGTTTAATAAATTAATATTATTTTCCTAATTTGGGAAGAAAAATATTGGATATTTGCTAAATGTTTCTCTAAACCAGGATTTGATCTTTTTAAAATAAATATGTTCAGTTAATAGGAAGGGTCCTTAATTGTTTTTAATATTATATAGACTGTGTTTTAAAGGACAAATGACATTTAAATTCTAATACTCCTTTTCAGCCTTCTGTAAATTTTCTCATATTATTCAAGAATAAGAATACACACTCATGCCCATAATAACACGCATATTGCACCTCCTTTGTTGGATGTGGAATTGCTATATCTATAAGCTGATATTTGTATGTATTTGGGAGAACTGGAGGAGCTCTGTTAGTTCCCAAAATGTCAATAGAATAGAATAGAATAGAATAGAATAGAATAGAATAGAATAGAATAGAATAGAATAGAATAGAATAGTAGAATTCTTTATTGTGTGTTTGGACACACAAGGAGTTTTTCTTGGTGCGTATGCTCTCAGTGTACATAAAAGAAAAGATATGTTCATCAAAAATCATAAGGTACAACACTTAATGGTAGTCATAGGGAACAAATAAGCAATCAAATCATATTAGGAAACAGCCTATATAAATCTTAAGGATACCAGCAACAAGGTTACAGTCATACAGTCATAAATGGGAGAAGATGGGTGATAGGAACGATGAGAAGATTAATAGTAATGCAGACTTGGTAACTAGTTTGACAGTGTTGAGAGAATTATTTGTTTGGCAGAGTGATGGCATTGGAGAAAAAACTGTTCTTGTGTCTAGTTGTTCTGGTGTGCAGTGCTCTATAGCGTCATTTTGAGGGTAGGAGTTGAAACAGTTTATGTCCAGGATGTGAGGGGTCTGTAAATATTTTCACAGTCCTCTTTTTGACTCGTGCAGTACACAGAAGAGCTCAAACAAGAAAAGCACTACCTGGAATGTATTCCATGAAAGATATGTTGAAAAGAATGGAAATCTCAAAGGACATCTATACACAATGACAGCTGAACGTGATCTCTCGGAGCTTTCTCAAGGATTACAGAATCATTATTAACATGTTCCATGCAGTGTTGGGATTGGTTGTGAATTTTCTAGAAAAAGGAAAATACTTAATAATGGCCATCAGAACTTTCTTCTAGATTTGGTGATACAATGGCAGTCACCACATGTCTCTGATCCTTATTCTCATCATCTAAATGCAAGATTAAATTTATTCAAAACAGGAAGCACAGCATTAATAATTTGAATACATTCTATTAAAAGGAGAAAGAGTTATGATAGTTCATTTGAATCCAAACAGTTAAGATTATCTTAATTTCTTTTTTTTTTATCTGATGGCTCCAAAATCATATAAAGAAGGATGGGCATTCCTTACACTGAGTGCAGTACTTCTTATTTCTGTGTTACCATTGTGTATTTACTGAGAAAATCTTAGCAAGCAAGTCACAGCTTTCAACCCTTGAACTCTTCTAAACCAGCCAGATCCCACAGGGAGTTCAGGAGTTTTTATAGATAGATGCTTGTTTTCTCATGAGAATTTTGTTGGAGTTCAGAGACTCGGAATTGAAATCAAGAGAGATTTATGGGGCTACAATGAAACTATCATATCTTTCTTTCCAATAGTTTTATGAATTTAGAGAATGAAGCATGTGTTTTACTATGGAGTCCAGCGAAAAGACAGAACTTGATTTGCAAAGATTCTAGCTGCAGACCCAGCCCTGGGCAGCAAACTCCATTGAATCCAGTACAAATGATTTCTGGGTAAACTGACCACTTTTTCATGATGGTGTATAGAGAATTAATGACAAGAAGAACATACATTAAATAGGTGGAAAAAAGTTTTGCTCAATCCATTAAAAATTATCTTGTTTTCGTCCGCAAGAAAAAAATATACATACCTCAAACATGTTCTATGGAAATATTCAGTTATCCAAGAAGCTTCAATGTTCCTTTTTCTTCAGCTGAAGAAGTTTCTTGGATGAGAAGCGAAATGTCTTCAAGGAAAAACAAAGTCCACTTGCTTTTTGAAAAAGCACCTTTGGGACACACCTCAAATACATTAATTTCTTTGGATATTAATCCAACATTCCCATTTTGTAATACAGTTTAAATACAGAAATCTGACAGTCCAGCTTTCTAATACAATTATATTCCTAAGATTATAGAAATGAACTAAATGTAGAAAGGAAAATAATTCCCATCCATTAATTTCTTACATATAATCTTCCTATGTAATTTAAATTTGCCATATCTTCTTCCCTAAAAGTCTAAAACATTTATCTCTTTTAAAACAAGGTCTGGTTGGAGGAAAATCAGAGCGCTTCAATTAATGAAAACCTGTATCAAAGTATTAACTGAACCTCCATCTGGAAGTGTGTCACTTTTAAAGTAAGGATCTCCTCATTCTAGATCCCCTTTATTAATACAAAATGTGCTAGGATCTCTACCAGAAGAGTGATCTTCTATCTTTCAAAATATTAACCAGGTGAGTCATGGTGGGACTAAGAGGAGGCAGAATCAGGGAGTTTTAACTTGTCAGATCAACTGCTGTATTAATTAAGGTTGGCCACTAGCGCCCTAATTTTTCTTTTTATGCTCCTTGAATTTTCTCTGACCCTGATTGCTGAAAACTATCAGTGTCCTGCTGTTATATGCAACTGGAAGCACACAAAAATGGTAGTGCAATAAAATGCCCCATTATTTAAAAAATCTGCTTGCAAAGCTAGATAATAATGGAAAATTATATTTTTGTTGCTGAGCAAGACATTTGTTAAGTGAGTTATGCCCCATTATATTATCTTTTTGCCATGGTTTTTAAGCAAATCATTACGGCTGCTAAGTGAATCATACTGTCATTAAGCGAATCTGGCTTCCCTCAGTGACTTTGCTTCTCGGAAGCTCCCTAAAAGGGTGGCAAATGACAATTCCAGGTCCTGGGATGCTGCAACCATCATATATACATTCTGGTTGCCAAGAACCCAAAGTATGATCATGTGACTGTGGGGATGTTGCCATGGACATAAGTGTGAAAACTAGTCATAAGTCACTTTTTTCAGTGTTGTGACTTTGAATGGTCATTAAACGAATGGTTGTAAGTCGAGGACTACCTATAATCCTTTGGTGCCCAATATTTTCCCATCCTGGCCTACGAAGGCATTGATTTAATGTATCCGTGATGTTCTAGAACAGGAGTTCCTAAACCTTTTGCCATTATACCTCCCTTTAATGTATACTTAATATGCACACCTTCCCTAAGAATCTAAGCACCAGAATAAAGACAAATGAACAATAAAAACAACACACTGAAATTTTAGGAAAGATGGATTTATTCTAACGATGTAAAAGGTTCTTCACAATTCCCCTGGACTCTGACTGTACCTCCCTAAGGGAGGTACACCTTCAGTAAGCTCAGTCTATTAACTTGAAAAGTCCCATGTAACATATGGAACAAAACTTGGCTTGGGTTTAACTAAAAGGTGATGTCTTCTTTCAATCAAAGCTATCCCAATTTCAATTCTCCTCTCATCCAATCTCTTAAATTCACCAGCGTTGACTTCATTCGAATATTGCTTTGATCCACTGTTGCCTTATCCATGCTTCGATGGATGGGCAGCCCTTACATGGACTCATTGAAAGTGTTAAGCCACGGGTCATGATTTAAAAACCGGGATGTCTAGTATCACCCAATGCACAGAGCCAGAACCAAGCAAATCATGCTGTGGCTCAACATACCATAGGAACCCACTCATCTGATGTGTGTCTATAACCTTTTCAGGTCTATTTTTACAGCTTTCAGGAATAGGCGGTTGAGTTGGGCTCATAGGAAAGCCCCTCCTGTCTGCCTCGCTGGAGACAATTTCTAAAGATCAAAGGTGCTTGTGGGAGGAGATGGGAAACTTTTCTTCCATGAACCTCAAGTAAGTTGATCCCGAGATCCAAGTGTTAGTCTTTTAATAATAACAAAAGAAGCATATATTTGCTGGCTGCTAACTTTGTCAACTTCTACAGAACAGAGACGGCCTAGCAACCAAGCACCAATCTTCACTTTTATTTGCTTGGACCATGCCAGAAGAAACTGATCCTTGGATTTTAAGCATAAAGCAAGGGACCTTTCTGCCCTCAGAAGGATTCTATTGCAACATTTTCCCCTTTCTCCAACACTGATACATACATTCTTCCAGCGACTGATCTGTGGCCATCTTTAGTGCATTGAAGAAATGGGGAGACAATGGATTTTTAAATATGAATTAATGTTCAAACAGAATTGGTGGAAGCAGTTAAACCTTATTGTCCTTTGAAGGTTATCCTGTGTCAGTTAGCTTGGAGAGCCTTGTACTGGTCTAAAACTGTGATAAACTGACTGGTTGACTGGCTTAGAGATCCTTCCATTATTATCACAAACTATTTAGAGATTTGAAGCTGGGCTTTCTCCATCCAGGGGCAACCACTAAAATGATCATTAACAAAGTTGAAAGGAACCTTGGAGGTCTTCTAATCCAACCCCCTACTCAAGCAGGAGGCCATTTTAGACAAATGGCTGTCTAGTCTCTTCTTAAAAACCTCCAGTGTTGGAGCACCCACAACTTCTGGAGGCAGATTGTCCCACTGATTGATTATTCTAACTGTCAGGACATTTCTCCTTAGTTCTAGGTTGGTTCTCTCCTTGATTAGTTTCCATCCATTGCTTCATACGCTACATCAACTACCAAGGAGAGTTTTCACTGGATCTGTGGAGGCACTTCATATATTCTTGGGTATGAGATCTAGAGGGGTTTTCCAGATTTTCCAGGCCATAGATCCTATTAGTCAACAAGAACTTTTCCTGGAATCCCCACTGCCTGCCATGCAGACACCCACAGAGTGATTAGTCATGACGAGAAGAAAGTCCCTCGGGAGAGATGGGGCTCCTGAATGTCCACTGGCCTTGCTCTTATAAAAATGGCTAGGGAGGTTCTTGGCTGAGTCTGAATGAACTTTTTTTTACCCATAGTCACTTGAGAACCACAGGATTCTGCAGAACACAACTTGAAAACCTTTGGTAATGTGGCAAGTTCACAACACTATCCAGCATACTTTCAGAGACAAGTTTTTAGAAGTGAAATACGTCGCGGAACTGGAATTCATAACCAATTGAATTTATGAGCAGGGCAAAAAGAAAAAAAAATAACTCTGTGTTATCTAGTTTTATTTTTTTTGAGAGAAGTCTTGCCAGGAAAATTACTCAGGGTTATGATGATTTTACAGGGTGATTTTGCCCAGAAATTTTCTTAATACAGACAGTCCTGTATGAGATGAGATGATAATTCAAGATTTCCATTTGCACGTCTGTCCCTGGAGACTGTCATAAAACATAATCTGTATCTCAGTGAGACAGGATATCTACAAAACACATTTTAAAATAGATAACTTAGCTTCTGCTGATGGCTTGCTGATACAAATCATGTCATTTATATACCAGAGATATCTACTATGCCTTCTGGGTCTATATGGCCATATTTTTCTGCAACTTGCATGTTCTTGTTATCAAACCAGTTTAGGATTAGGAATGGATGAGGGGAAAAAAATACCTTTACAATTTTTTTTATTAGTGTATCAAAACATAAAATACAAAGGGAAATCCAGTACATAAAAAGTACTGGAAAAATAGGGAAATCCTCAGGAATTTGAAGAAGGTCTAAATAAACTATGGATGAGAGCAAACAAACTGAAACTTAATCTAAAAAAGAAAGATTGAAGTACAGGTAGTCATCGATTTACAACAGCTCATTTAGTGATTGTTCAAAGTTACAACAGCACTGAAAAAGTGACTTATGACCATTTTTCACATTTACGACCATTGCAGCGTCCCCATGGTCAAGTGATCAAAATTTAGATGCTTGACAACCAATTCATATTTATGACGATTGCAGTGTCCTGGGGTCATGAAATCACTTTTTGCAACCTTCTGACAAGCAAAGTCATTGGGGAAGCCAGACTCACTTAACAACCATGTGACTAACTTAACAATTGCAGTGAATCATTTAACAATGGTGGCAAAAAAAGGTTGTAAAATGGGGCAAAATTCATTTAACAAATGTCTCACTTAGCAACAGAGATTTTGGGCTGAATTGTGGTCGTAAGTCGAGGTCTACCTGTACTAGAAGAGTGGAGTTGGATAAGGAGAGTTAGTTGGCACTTCCCCTTAAAGCACTAGGTGTACAGTTTGGAAATGAACTTGCTGTTCTCTTGCCTATCCCCACAGTGTGATAGGCAAATAAATTTTAATCATCATCATCATCGACTTCTTTTTCAGCACTTTTACAGTACCAGACTCAATTTGCATTCAGAACTTGAAAAACTTGCTCTAGTATTTGAATTGGTGGGTAAAAATGTAACTTTTTAATGCCGTCCAACTATTTCTGTAATTTTGAGCGTGTAACATATAGCCTTAGTTAAGCTTCATCGATACAAATCATAAAAGTAAATTTATGAGATGTATTTGTGCATATATTTCATTTGCCTTTTGTGTAGAGAACACCTAATATATGCTATAGTAGTTTCTCTTCTTGTGTTTTTTTAAAAAAATGCCCTTAGATATCCATGACCATAATAATTCTCATATTTGACAACAGTGTTTGAGTTACTATTATATATGGAAAATTAATATTATTGGAAATACGTGCAGTATGTTACTAGTAATCATGGCACTTACTATAACATTCAGAAAATAGCAAATGGTTCCATAAATCCAGCATTATAACACTGGCTCATTAGTAAAATTGTATTTTAGCCCAAGAGTTGAATCCCTCTTATTTTTATTTGATTATTAATTATTTCATTTGTACCTTCATCTTTCTATCCCCTTGACAAACAAGGTGGCTTGCAACAGCAAAGAAAATATAAGGCAAACCCTAAACCATGGGTGTCAAACTTGCGGCGTCACGTTGCTGTCACATGATGTTTTGCAATGGTTTTCCCCTTTGCGGATCTGGGGTGGATGTGGCCTGCATGTGACGCATCAGGCGCCTGCCAGCCGCCAGTTGACACCCCTGCCCTAAACAGAAACATAATTAAAATCCAGATTAAAATCAAACATGAAAATAAAGAAATAATCTAAAATAGTTAGCTAGAAATCCACAACCAATGCACATTCATATACACAATTTTCACCGGAGCTGTTCTTATTGGATATCCTTCCAGAGAAAATTAGTAAAGAAAAGATATATTTGATTATTCATGTAATAACAGCAGCGAGGATTGTATTTACGCAAAACTCGAAAGCAGAGAAAATACCTCTGGAAGAGGAAATAATTAAGAAAATTTTAGATTGTGCAGAAATGAATAGATTAACTATGATAATTAAAGAAAGAGAGGATTCAGAATATTTTAAGATATGGGGTCAATTCTACCATTGGCTAGAAAAGAGATATAAACAAATTAATAGTTATGCAAGAGTATGATATACTTAAAATATTGTATTGTTGAAGAGAGGTTGTAATAGATCAAGAGAAAATGAAGAAAGAAGAAACAACAAGGAGATAAAGCCATTGAAGAAACACCAAGATGACACACGAAAGGATTAACTGATGTACTAAGTGTCGATTGTGTATTAAAAAAAAAATTGTACACCATTCACTCTTATTCACAAATAAAAAGGCTAGTAACGTTCTAACAAAATCTTCCCTATTGACACCAACTGAAGAGAGGAGGGGTGAGAACTTTGTCAAAATTGCAATGTCATGGAAACGGGAGCTGATGCTATCAGGTTGAAGAATTCATCAGGGACAGAGGATAAGATTTGCAAGATGGCCAGAATAATATGATGCAACAATGAAATATTACCACAAATAGTTGCAATCCACATCAGACTGTATATTTTGATGTCACAGATATTGTCCACCAAATATTGTCCTTTGATTGCCCTGGCCTCATTGCTATCCTAGCTGGCTAACCAAATGGGATGCATAGCTACTATATGTAGGTAATGAGTCTCGCTGTCATCTAGACATCTCTTAGCTTATCCTTTTGCAACCCAGATGCAACAGCCCAGACTTTATACATTGTGATGGAACAGTGTTTTGACTAAAATAATGACATCTTCACAAAGAGGTGAAATTCTGCAAAGCTTTTACTTCTATGATGCTTCAGCAGCTCAAGAGAAAGAATGGAGATTTTCTGGGAATGCAATGGGAAACTAACATAATTTAAAACATAGGCTAGGGATGAGATGGGGTCAAGGTTGGAGGTAAAGTTGCCAGGGGTTCAGATGTTGCTACAAATGGCCAATGAGGAAAGGCTCTACATCTGACCACAGTAAATATTTCAGGGTTCTTTAACTCATTCAGAGAATCAGTATTATTTTTGCCAAATTAGTTAGATCCCCAGCTAAAGTTATTTTTGGGATTGCCTATAGAGTTTCTCAATTATCTAAGTCATGGTTGTCCCAAAGGTGCTTTTCCAAAAACAACTGGTCTTTCTTGGGTTTTATTCTTTGAAAACATTTCACTTCTCATCCAAGAAGCTTCTTCAGTTCTGGGATTATTTCAAACATCCTTCTTTTTTTAAAAAAATCTACAAATAAGACATTCCATTTCCCCTTTCCTTTTTCTTCCCTTAATGAACATTGTTTGGACTGAGCTATCAGGAAAAAGCAAGTTATGCAGCCAAATAAGTAAACATGAAATATGAAATGAAATGAAATGTTGGAGACAAGATAAGGCAATGAAGATTAAGCAGAGCATGGTGTTCTATTAACGGGTACAGAAGTGCATTTATTCTTGGACAAGTCATCTATTTATAGGAGGACCATCTAGCTGAAGCTCCTCTCTCCAGTATAGGTCAATTGTGAACATAGCACAGGCTTTCCACAAACACATTTTGCTAGATTCAGCACTCAGAGGCCTGATTCATGACAGGAATGAACTCCAGGACTTCATATTTTTTTGTATTCGATACCAATATATCTGTCCAAGGATAGTTGTGATTATACAGTGCTGAGCATAAATCAAGTAGCTAGACCATGGCCCTCACTAGGAGTATTTAATTTTTTTAAAAAATTGGGAATCACATATCACCTTATAACGAATGTCTCCAAAGAAACCAGGCTCGCACCAGCAAAAATCCACTGCTTCAGCACTTTTAAATGAAGGATGCATCTTGGCTAAAGTATGTAGTGCTTCTGCTTCAAAATCAATGATGTCTAGATCAGTGTTTCTCAATCTTGGCAATTTTTAAGATGTGTGGACGTCAACTCCCAGAATTCCTCAATATCACACTGGCTGGGGAATTCTGGGAGTTGAAGTTCATACTTCTTAAAGTTCCTAAGGTTGATGGTCTAGATCAGGGGTGTCAAACTCACATTGTCACAGCAATGTTATGTGACATATCGAGACTTGTTTCCCTTTGCTAAAATGGATGTGGCCGTGGCCAGCACATGATGCATCTATACCGTGGGCCGGGAGTTTGACAGCCCTGGTCTAGATGCAAGTAAATAGTTGGTGGATGCAAAAAATATTTTTTCAACACACACCAAATGGTGCTGAAATGCTGTATGATTGGTTCACAATATCTGTCACTTCCATTCATTTAACGAAGAACTAGCTATCGCACCACAAATTCCTCAGGGTTATCAATGATCCTGTTTCCTCATGCTATTTTAAATTATGATATACCACTCTCCTCTTCATTACATTCTTTCCATCCTCAAGGGGCTGATTTCTTTCAAACTGCTAGTTTTCTGTCTTACATATAGGCAGCTGTGAATATAGAAGTGAAATATTTTTCACATGTTACCCTTGTTGTTTGTCCCTAGGACAAAGATGCAGTTATGATTTCTCCATAACAGCTCAACATAAGTTAAATTTTCAGATACAAGATGTTCTTGCAATTACCAAATATCCTCATGCTCAAAGGCTACTACGTCGTGTAGAAACAAGTGTACAGCTTATACGTAACTTGTAAAAAGTAAATATTTCCCAGAATATCTTAATTTCAAGCACAATTTAGGACTGGCTGTAGTTGATAAAGTTCTCAAACATTGTTTTTTTAGTAGATGACATTAAAGGTTAAAACTCATATACTATTAACTGAGGTTAATCTCAATATTTCTGGATATCTGTGGATTGAAATAATTGTTTTAAAGGTATGGGCTTATCAAATTCTGCAAGTTAATAGTGAACAGGGCTGTTGCTACAAAATTGTTTGATTTTTAAAGGCAAATATTGAACATTGTTTGGAATACAAAAAGCCAAACTTTAGATTGTAAAGAACATTGCCAAGGTTGAGAAATTTCACTTGATATTGTGAACATATTGAAACTACATGTCTATGGAGATTCTCAGTCATCCAGATCATGGTTGTCCCAAAGGTGCTTTTTCCAAGAGGCAACCGGACTTTCTGGTTTTTTTTTAAAGATGTTTTGCTTCTAAGCCAAGAAGCTTCTTTGAAAAAGCACCTTCGGAACAATATTGAAATTACTGTGAAGGGTATCTTTTGCCAATGAAATAAATGAATGTATTACATGCTTCCCACATTCCATTTGTTTCACTGACCCAGTTTCAGAGAAGGGGAGTTTGAATATAACCATCCCAGAATTGAGGAGGATCTTTCTCTCCCTCTCAATAACCTTGAGGACTTACTCAGACAGGCCTCAGATTACTTACTTCCACATGTTGTAAACAATTTATTGACTCTCTTAATTTAATTGTGCAAGAGTCAGTATTTAACTGTCTTCTCTGAAGACCAAAGACATCAATAAAGTAAGATCAGCCAAGAATGTTAACACTTACTGCAACCTCTGTAACCTGGATATTTGACTATCTGCATAAAACTTTCTAGGAGATTTTGAGGTCATCCTCAGAGAAACTTTATATTGCTTTATGTTTTTTGGAACAATTCAGAGCACATATTTTGCTATCAAAGGGGGGAAAAAACAACCCACTCCAAATATATTTCTTTACACCTTTTTTTGGTGTCCTAGCCAAAGAAATTTAGTTTAAGAATGCTGTAATAAATCATTGAATGTACCACAAGGTGTTGATGTTAGTTATAACTGATAGATTAAAAAAAAAAGGGGGGGGAGGTTGGCACTGAAACAAAAACGTTTGTAAATATTTGAAATGTAAACTAATGCAGATCTCATTACATACAGTACACCACAACATTCATAGAAAATATTAGAACTCAGGCTTCATAGACTATGGGTATTCCTCAACTTATGATCACTACTGAACGACAGATTTCTGTTGCTAAGTGAGATATTTATTAAGCGACATTTACCCCATTTTACAACTTTTCTTGTCACTGTTGTTAAGTGAATCACTGCAGTTGTTAAGTGAATCTCGCTTCCTCGTTGACTTTACTTGTCAGAAGGCCGCAAGAGACCACATGACCTCGGGACACTTCAATTGTCATAAATATGAGTCAGTTGCCAAGCATCTGAATTTTGATCAAGTGATAATGGGGATATTGCAATGGTTCTAAGTGTGAAAATGGTCATAACTCACTTTTTGCAGTGCCATTTCAGTGCAGACTTCGAACAGTCACTAAATGAACTGTTGTAAGTCGAGGACTATCTGTATCGGAAAGTTCATTTATATTTTGTTAACAAGGATTTTTTGGCTTAGAATTGCACATTTGCAGGTCATAAAATGAGAGTTCCCAAAGGTGTTTAAATTGATGTCTGCGTGGAATTACTCTTTTCTTCCTAGTGGGAAAATTAAATTGATGACTTGATTACACTGCAATTCAACCCATGTCATAAAATTGGCTCCCAAAATGTTCAATCCAGTGCAGTGCCAGGATTTTTTTTTTTTTTTTACAAAAATCTCTATGTATTATTTGCCATCAACTTTAGTGCAACATAACCCAGTCTTCCTCTGCACAATGCTTTCCAGATGTGGTCCAGCTTCTGCTTCCAGCTCTGTCATGGTCTTCTTCTATGGTTTCAGAATTTTGTATGATTTCAATGTTTATAATTTTGGATTTTATCGTCTTACTTTATTTTATCCAGTCTGGGAACTTTCAACAGAAAGTAGACTACGTATGTGCATTTGCGCATGAACAGATGTATAAGAAAGAAAATGTTTCAGTGTTACGTTAGTTATTGTTGACTGACAGTCATTATATGTAATTGCTATTCTTATTCCTTTTCAGTTTCTTTTCTAATTCAACCTAAAATTAAAGCAATTAACAGTTGCTTCTGTATCTTTTTGTGTTTTATGAACACCTAAATACCTTAGTAAAAAGAGGAAGGGGGCTGACGAGCAAAATAAGGAAAAAGTTGAAGAGTTCTTGCAGTTTCCCTCATTCATGCAGTTCATCTGAAGAAAATGCCTGGCTTAGAAGAACATATTGCTATGTTCTTCGGCTATTTCTCACTGATATTTCCAGCATGGTCAAGTAATACCAGATAATTAACAACAATCTAACTAACTTTAAAAATTAGAGTGCTCCAAATGCCTTAGAGCATGGATGTCAAACTCATGGCGTCACATTGCCCTTGTGTGATGTTTCACAATGTTTTTCCCCTTTGCAAAGCTGTGTGTGTGTGTGTGTGTAGCTTGCGTGTGATGCATCTGGACCGCAGGCTGCCAGTTTGACACCCCTGCCTTAGATGAACATTTTAGTTCCTGGGACAGAACTGAACAACAAGATTTATTTCTGCTCAACTCAGTGCCCTTCTGCAAATCCAGCTACTGCGGTTGAAAAAGAATGCAGAACATATTGAACGGCTGAAGTCCCTGTTCCTCAGGTACCTGACAAAATATTTGACTTGCCTCCAGAAGTTATGGGTGCTCCAACACTGGAGTTTTTAAAGAAGGGATTGGACAACCATTTGTCTGGAATGGCATAGGTCTCCTGCTTGAAAAATACTTTTGACATACTACAATTTGTTGTTTCTCATCTACTTTTATGATTATTTTGCACCATGGATGTATATGTGACATTCCTTCCCTGGGATAACCATCCATGAAGTGGACTGTACCCAACAAACTTTATACTGAAACAACTGTATCTGTAAAAAATATTGGGAAGAATCAGGAAGAATGTATTTGTGTTTGCTTATGCTTTAAACTAAAACCGGAAGGGGAGGGTGACCAATTTTTAGGACTTGATCCCAAGCATAAGTTGTCCCAAGACAACCAATCAAACAATCAGGTAGGGAGTGGTGGGAAGGAAAAGGAATTCAAAACAGGAGATGTAGGAAACAAATGCAGGGTCAGCCATAAAGGATTCAAATGTCTGTACACTGATGCTCAAAGTATGAGGAACAAACACAGAGAATTAGGTCTAGTACATGAGGGCATGTATAATATAGTTGCCTAAACTTGGTGGAATTAAACCCATGACTGAAATATACTGTTGGGGAGATATAAACTATTCAAAAGGAACAGATCTAACAAAAGAGGATGTGGTGTTGCATTATATGTAAGAAATCACTATACTTCTACAGAAATGCATAAAACAAAGAATGAAAGCCTCCTTGAATGCATATGAGTAAAAGGAAAAAAAAGAACGACATTGCCATAGGTCTGTGATGGCGAACCTATGGCACACATGCCAGAGGTGGCACGCAGAGCCCACTTTGTGGGCATGCGCCCGTCACCAGTTGCTCTTTTAGTTTCTGGCGCTGGTCTTCACAGGCACCGGAGTGCCAGAAAACGGCCAAAAAATGGCCAAAAAAACAGGCCGTTTTTCAGGGCCTTTTCCAGCCCAAAACGGCCCACAGTGTATTTCCTGTGCTTGATTGGGTGGCCTGTAGTATATACCTATTGAGAGCTAATCATACCAAACTCTATCCTGGCCAAGTAATCTGTCAGAAATGTAATCCTTTTTGCTAAATTCCTTTGCAGCCTCACGTGACTCTGCAGGAAGTTGCAGGAAGTTCACGGTGTGCTTGGGTGACTTTGTGCAAATAGCTTTAAAACTACTTGGGAGTTATCTCGTAGAGTACACCACTTTGTATCATCCAAAGGATACTGAAAGAATTCAGAGAGGATCAAAGCAAGAGGCTCGAGTCAACTGGCTCCTGAAGCTTTTGTAATCAGGAAGGATGGACTTGCAATTTGACTTATTCAATTGATAAGACTTTATTTAAAATTTTAATATAAAATTTAGGAAAGAATTTGATGTGATGTGCACAGCAAGAGAGAAAAGCCACTGAATGAAAGTGCAGAATTTTTATGCTTTAATACTGACCCAGAGACAGCCTAGTAAGCTCCCATATATACATGTTTTATGTAAAGTTTCCTTCCAGACTTTGTCTGTAGCATGCTGGCAGTCAAACTGCTTAAAAATAATAAGGATGACAATGTTTTCTGGGGACTTAGTTTGGAGTGAACACTTTCCCCAGGGAACTTATTTCTTCTTTTAGAATCTTTTGCATCATAAAATTCTATTAAGCAATCTAGGAGCAAGGAAAAGGTTTAAAAACGAGATTTATTTATCACAAACCTTTGGTTAGAAGTTTTTATACAATTCTCTGGTTATTTCTGATAATTTATCACAAATACTTTCCTCTAAGAACCATAACATTTGACCTGGAATTCTTTCTTTCATACATCAGGGATTGAATTTTTTAATCTTCATCTGCAAATAGCACAAATTTTATTACAGTGTGTAATTTGGCCAGACTTATTTTTAGGGTTGTACAAAGCATTCAAAGAGGTATTATACAAAGCAATTTAGCACCTATGAAGCCTCTCTGTCTGAAATATTCAAGCAGTCACAACCCCTGGAAGGAATATTGCCAGCTGCCTCTGTGTAGGTACAGACAATTTTGTTAGCAATTCTAATGGAAGCATTCTTGTGTTTTGAAGCAGCTGCATGAGTCTCACAAAGGATGTGGCTGCTTTAAACTTCAGGTTTGTGCATATTGATGTGCTTTGGGAAGGACTAATTCTGAATGCTTTGCATAGCTATATTTTCCTGAAGTAAGCAAATATAGATAAAGCAGCTAAATGGATTCAAATGAAAATGACTGGAACTTTAGCTAAGCTATAAATTCTCAGCACATTTATATAATAAACCACGTTTATGAGATTAAGTTCCCACTGGGTGAATATACACAACATTCAAAGCCAAAATCAATCAAGTTACCTTACTCTAGTGAATCAATATGGAATGAATATCCTTTATTTTCAGGCAAAAGTAACTAGTCTACTTTTAATTAGTATAGCCATATCTATTATAAAATATTATTTTATAGATGTGGCTATTCTGATTCAAATTGGACCAAGTACTTTGGCCTGAGAATAAAGGATATTAAATTCCATATTGATTCACAGTTACAGCCACAAGTATCACAAAAGCAGTTTGGGTGATATTTCCCACTCTCACAGCTACTAATTTCTTAATGCAAGTAATAAAGAAAAAAAATCAAACACTCCAGAAACAGCACTAGGCCTTTTACCACTTACTTGTCCTTGACTTCAAAACATTTGTGAAGCCACCTTCTCATAAACATTTGTTCTTCTGAAATGTCTTTTAGCTCAATTTGTTCAATATGGATATGAATTCTTGAGCGCTCCTTACAAAGAAAGTCTAAAATCCAGAAGAACACCACAAATTCTTTAGTTATAACATGATTAATTTCAGTTATTTGTAAAAGTAGAGGCAAACTTATTTTACAATCTTTAAAAACTGATCCAAGTTTTAAGTCTGGATTTTTTAGACTGATTTGAAACTGTTTTTGTAAACCACATGAATCACAAGAGGCCAATCAAAAGCAGGCACCTCCTGCACAGCTGGAACAGCCTGGTGTGTAGAGAGAGAACAGCAAAGACGTTCTGTGAAGCATCTTGTCAAACAAGTGAGTAAATGACTTGATTAGCAACAGTTGGCTGCAGCCTGATTAAAGAGCCAGCCTTGAGTTATAGCCCTTTACTGGAAACAACTATTTAATCTCTGGCTCTTGTATGACAATTCATATGAATTATGCCTGTGCTCTTCTGAACTGGCTCTTGGAATCTTGGACTGATTTTGGGCTATTCTATGCACTCCCAATAAGAGTAAACTGTTCAGGCATGTGTCTGCCAGAGACTATTTTGGTTTGCATGCTTTGGCTGTTATCTCTTTGACCTTCATTAAACTGAATTAGATGAGGCATGATGGCTCAATGGTTAAAGACACTGAGCTTGTCAGCTCTTGGTAGTTTTCATTACCTTTCATATGACTGGCTATAGGCAATTACTTTGGGCAGTTCTGGATTGTAAAATTTTCCTTCTGGTTAAATCGCAAAATATATCTGTGGAATTAAACATATATAGTACAGTTTCATTAAGTTAAACAGTTCAGTCTTAAGACTGAGCCTCAATGAGGTTGCTCCAGTCAAAAACGTCTCATTTTTCTTCCAGCCCTTCATAACACAATTACTTTGTGCTTCCATCAGTTCTCACAAATGTAATTTGTGAAATATGGAGCTCAGCCAGAATTGCTGTACTAAAAGCAAAACTCAGTTTATTATATCGGGCCAATTGTCCATCTCCTATAACATTTGCAAAACTAGTTGTATACTCTAGTTTAAATTAAATTTAGACTTTGTCCCTAAATAAATTTTGCTTAATTTAGGTTAAGAGGTATTAGTCTAAATTTTCTATATAAACACAGGTGTGCATCTGAATATCAGGACTTTTCCTGGAAAAGTACGAATGTTTATCTTTCCAGCAACCAAATCAAAAGAACTGCTTAGAATACCTGCTTGACTTCATGGAAGAAAAGTAGAAAGCAGCATTTTGATTCTGAAAAGGGAATTGACTCCTGAAGTTTGCATTTGTGGAAGCTGATACCACAAATATAAGCGTGCGCGCACATGCACACACACACACATGGGAGGAGGGGAAGAGGGGGGGGAAACATATATATTGTATAAAGAGGAAATAAGGAAGGTTACAATTTTTTTGCTTTCATCTGGATTTTCATCGTGTTCCTCATTTTCCTTTCATTAAATCTAGCACTTAATTTCATGTACACTCCACTTGTGCTACTATATAAGGAAATTGATTATATTTATAACCCTTTAATGATTAGTAAAACAATAAAAAATAATGTAGCAGCATTTTAACTGCTGTAGGGTAAGCAGCTTTCTATGCTCTTAAATTTGGTTTTGCAACAATAGGAGCATGAAGATTTTTTTTTTTGTTTTTATTTTACAATATTTTTCTATTAAAAAAAGAAAACAGAAAAAAATGTAGTTTTTAACCCAAAGACAGTTGACTCCATATGGATACATCAAGAAAAATTTATCTAAGTCTAGAGTTTTGCTTTGGAATACAAAGTACAGGTAGTCCTCAATGGAAAACCACAAGTGAGCCCAAAATTTATGTTGCTAAGTGAGAAATTTGTTAAGTGAATTTTGTCCCATTTTATTACTTTTCTTGCCACATTTGTTAAGTGAATCAGTGCAGTTATTGAATTAATAACACAGCTGTTAACTGAATCTGGCTTCTCTATTGATTTGCTTGTCCGAAGGTCGCAAAAGGAAAGCACACGACCCTAGGACACAGCAACCATCATAAATTTGAGTCAATTTTTCAAGCATCTGAATGTAAATCACCTGACCATGAGATGCTGCAATGGTCTTGTGTAAAATGGTCATAAGTTACGTTTTTCAATGCTGTTGTAACTTTGAACGGTCACTAAACTATTGTAAGTCGAGGAGTACCTGCACCTATTAGATCACTTATGTATGTTTCAGCAAATTATTAAAATTGAATTCTTACTGAGTGTACCATATTTAGCTACATACAAGTCTTTTAACAATGTTCTCTCACTAACAATGGAAATGACAATGAATGTACACCTTATTCCTGCAGGCCACCATATTTCAAATCATGCTCTATGTTGTCTCATGGCAAAATTTATGAGGATGAGATCGAGAGAGTTAAAAGTCCTGTTGTATAAGTCCATTTGTCTGCAGTCCAAGTAAATAAAAAGTATTGATTAAATACACTAGAACATTTTTAATGCTCTTATAAAGAAATAATTTGGAATGGTTTCTCCAAGAAGAATAAAGAGAGAAGCTGTTGAGTTTTAGGAACACTGTTTTCATTTAAAATATTGTATACAATACGGATTTCATGAATGCTGCTTTGCATAAGAGCTAATGCAGAGATTGATATATTATGATACCAAGAGTTAACAAAAATATTTTTATCACCAGGAGTAGCTGGGGTCAAAAAGACTTTATTTCTTATTTTGGATTGTTTTGTTTTTTATGAAAGTCCCTCAGATGTTTTGTCCAGTCTCATTCTATCATTATGTTGCTAAGGAGCCAAACATCTCACACCAGCTTTATTAGCGTTATAGAAAGCTTTTAGGGCGAAGCTTCAACCAACTTTTAACAGAAGCAGCTTTCTGAAGCAATGTCTCCACAATCTTCTCTGTTCATTCTGGCTTCCAAAAAACAAAGCAAAACTGGAACATTATTTTGTGTCAGCCAAGCCTTTTTGAATGGCAGTTGGACTAAATTGCCTTCATTGTGGAAAGCACCTCATTTTGGAAGAGATTAGCTGCTCCATACAGGTGCACACTTATATACATCAAATAGCAAGAATAAGCAAAGCTGTATCTGCTGGTCATAATAAAATTCTAAAACAAATGGAAAATGTGAATGTCATCATGCCGTTTTCCCACCTCTCTTGCAAAAAACAAACAAGGCTGTCAATTATTATTTTTGTTGAATCCTGTAAACTTGTCTCCTTCCAGCTATCAGTAAAACAGGGAAATTTCACAGTTATATAGTCTTCAACTCAGAGAATTCCTATCCATTCGACCCTCAATTTTTTTCAACCACGAAAGCATAAATATAATAATAAAAAAATGAAATGACTCAAACTGTTGCCAGGTTATTCAATCTTATTTTTGTGCCTGGAACTGGTAATCTGAAACACTGCATAACTCTTTTAAAAGAAAAAGAGGTATCAGAAAGGAATACATTTCTTTTAAAGGGAGTACAGGCAGTCCTCAATTTATGATGTGTAATGATTCAAAGTAACAGTGGCCTCTGAAAAAGTGACTTATAACCGTCACACTGCCACCTCATATCACGTGGTTGCAATTGAGGGCTTGGCACCTGCTAACACTTATGACTGGCTGCAGCATTTTGTGGTCATGTGATTGCATTTTTTTTGTCTGGAACAGCAATTTTCTTATCAAGTGTATTGTTTCCCTTATGCTCTGTTTTTTCTTCAGAGAATGTATTTTTTAAACAAAACAAAACAAAACCCTATATTTGATACAGATATACCATCACTTCATCCACGTATTTTTTTGAAGCAATATGTGTCAAAGAATCTTTTTTAAAGATCTGTTACTAATTTTTAAACATTACTTATTACGCCACCAATAAGGACCTGTTTTGTGGATCAAAACCAAAGCTTCAGATGTGTTTACTAGTGTGCTTTCCTTGAACTAACGTTCTGTTTTTGCATATTGAGAACATACACACATTCCACAACAGGATGTTTATTAGAGGTAGGAAATATACATTCCATCACAATTCTGTAATCAACTGTCACAGGGAAATTTTACTTGAGTGCGAGTGACATCACTACCACAGCATCAACAGGAAGAAGAGGAAGTGTTTTCGTGTTTATGCAGATCTGGCACAGGGTTCGGGCATAAAAATGAGAGTAAAATATACATATCACTTGGCACTGCATATTTCTCATAAGCCAGTACAGTATTATTTCTTAAATACCAGCAAGCACTATTTCCAGCATTGAGTTATTAATTCAGCCACTGAGTTATTTCACTTGTGGTTCTCCAAACAGCATAAAAATATATTATTTTCAAATTTGCACCACGTGCCTTTAAAGAAAAAAAATGTTTTGTGTCATCATGTACTGTATGTTTAGGATTGTTCTGAATTAATATTCAGAAAAATTAAATTAAATAGATAAGGAAAAAATACTGTACCATCAAATTCCTTTGTAGCTACAGATATAAGAGAAAAGAAGAAAAAGAATAATGCAGATAAAATCATGCATGAAATCAACACTTCCATGTATTTTATAGTATACATGACTTCTACCATTTTGAGGCATGTAGGATATAAGGCTGGTGACAATCAGCAGCAACAGGACTATCACCTGCCAGTCAATGTAGGAAAGAGGATGTTGGATTATATAGAGTTTTTGATGTGATCAAACAGCAACGTGTGATGTTCTCTACCAGTTTCCCCTTCTGGGAAAAAGACAAAAAATCTTCCATGCAGCAGCTAATTCTATTGAAGCTGCACAGGCAATGAGAAAGACACTGTGACTTCACTTATTAGCCAAATGGATGCAGAGTTAAAAATGACAGTATTTTGAAAATGAATGCCAGAGTGTTATAGGATAGAAATGGTTATTAATTTTTAAAAAATCTTTGTTTATTTTTTATTCTATTCCTAGAGTTGTTGGGAAAAGGGAGGGAGGGAGGGAGGAAGGCAGGCAGGCTATAGTAATAGACCTAGGATGAATTTTAAAATGGGAGTCCTACTCTTTAGGACAAGGGAAGGACTATTTATAATGACTATCAATAGCTCAAAATTGTATGCACACACAATAAATAAATAGCCACTATGTAATTATCAGAATTACAATAGGGAAACTGCATAAAAATAATAGAAGAACATTGCCAGATTATCTCCACATAAAAGAGGTTTCACTAATTTAACCACTGCAATTGTAGTCTGCTAAGTGTATGTTTATAAATTTCAATCACTCCATCTAATGGAACCTTGAGAGTTTACTGGAACAAAATCTGCCATCAAGTTTAAGTTGAAAACAAAAAAATATGTAAGAATTTATGTAAGTAAATAGTTCATGCAGGATGAAAAATGGTTGTTTATAGTGATAGAGATCTAATATGGGAATAATCATTTGATTCTTCACAAAAAAGGGATCAGAAACCCCTAAAATTACAGATTATTTATCCTTATTAATATTGCTACTAAATTATATACCATTACATAAACTGGGAGCATATTCTACTGAAAAACAAAGCTGGGTTTACAACTATTTTTCAACATTTGACCATTGTTAATATTTGGGATTAACAAGTACGTTATAGCAAAAGTAAAATCTATATTGGCACTGCTATTTTAGCATATATCTTAGTTTAACGATGGAAGCAAGCTATGGATAAAATTAGGAGGCACAAATGTAGAATATACCCTTTAATTCTTGTCAAAATGTTTACAAGAATTTCAGTATGCAAATGAGATGTTCCCTTGCACATCACCAATTGAAGTTTTCTGAAGTGTCAAGCAAGGTTGTGTTATAGATTCAACTTCTTTAAATCTATTATCAATTATGGTATATTGCCACATTTAACATATCCAGCATGTGTTCAACTGTTTTGCTTCATTCTTCTGTAAGAGAACTCTATTTTGCTGTATTGACATTAATGAAATAGATGTTAACATTAAAATAGATATCTTACATGGGAATCCTAAAATGTGTTTGGTTCAATGGCTACATAAATTGATGATGCCAATTTGCTTGGCTATAATGAGTACTATGTAATTTACTTTCTAAATCAAAGTAAATCTAATTAGGATTGAAATATTTAGCATTTTTCTGGGCATTAACGAAGATAATCTTGCAGCACAATGAAAGTACTGTAGCAATTTTAGCCATTTATTATGGCAAAAACATTCACATTAAGGTAAGCTTCAGTTAACAAGGGGAGGGTGGAGTAGAAGATGGGGTAAACTATGTTTATGATTGGGAGGAGAACTAAATCAGATTGAAAACCAAGCATACAGTTCTTTTGGAACATAAAAACAAAATCAATTAATTTGAAAAGTAAAATGATATTCTATTTATTTTCTTTCAAAATATGCAATGGTAATTTATTACTAAGATATATTTATTTATAGTGTTTATGCCCTATGCCTCAGCAAGATAAGATCCCATGTCCTTTACTGGAGATGGTATTTTACTGAAACTAATGGATTTACTTCCAAATATTTGCAGAATCAATTGTATCAAAAATAAGCAGTAATTCTTAGCTACTTTACATTACTACAAAGTTTTCTGTGAGATGGGCAGCTATATAAACAAACAAATAAACAAATAAATTTGCAGAAAGAGCATTACCTGAGAAAAATACCACCTGTACAAAAGAAGTCATTTTAATCTATCTTTCAAAACACATCGAGTATGTCCAAAAGCATTTTGCCTGATGGTCAAATATCTGTTATAATCCAATCAACTGCAAACCCAGAACACAAATATTTACAAACATAATACATCCTTGGTATATGCAATGGCAATTCTCTTCCATGAAAAACAAATACTGCTGAAGTTAAAAACTGAGCTTTTCAGATACAAAGTAAAATAACCTTTCCACAATCACATTCCTTCTCTTTTTAGTCTTTTCACTTTCTGTTCTCCACTTACTTCTCAACTTTTAAATTAATACAATTTATTAATCTGCTATTTAATCTACTTCACTAAGGTCAAGATTGCCAACTCATTTCAATATAATATAGAACAAGGTAGATATAGATAGTTGTTTTCCAAATTTTCTTTTAAAAGCTGAATTAAAGAGGGCATTTTAAAAAATGAAAATATCAGACACCAAATTATTTAGCTACCTTGAATAGATTATAAAAGGAGTATTTAATGTTGGTTCACAAAAAGTAGCTAATCAGTGATACAAAAAGTTCCACGTGGAAGAATTTTCTGGTTCAGAAGTAGTTCAATAGTACTCCACAGCTATTATTTCCAACCTGTTAGTTTAAAACTCATTTGCACCGGATTCAATTAACCTAATTAATATTTCACAATGGTAACCCATTGTACAGGTAGTCCTGGATTTATGACCACAAGTGAATTCTGGGAGTTGAAGTCCACCTATTTGCAAATGGCCAAGGTTGAGAAACATTGGGCTAGCCTTTAAGTCCTAGCTGGGCTACAGGAAGGACAGCAAAAGCTTGCACAAACCCAGCACTCTCCATTTTCTTGCACAAGTTTTTACTTGGCTAACTTGAAGATGAAGGTTTTTGTTTTCCAGTTTTAGGGAAAAAGCTGCTCTGGACGTTCTTTTGCCATACCTTGAGGTTTTAGGATCTGGATGGGGAACAACAGGCTTCACCCTGAACTGTGGTAAAATGGAGTGGCTGTGAGTGTGTGTGTGTGGGGGGCTTCTTTGTATCTAAGAGTTCATCATCTCTGGTCTTTGCTGGGGTTGCACTAACCCAGACAGATCCTGGTGTGTAATCTGCGGGTCCTCCTGGCTTCATGGCTCCTGCTTGAGGAGTCAGTTATGTCATTCCTGGTTTGGGAGCCCTTCTTTCAGTAACGCAGATCCTGGTCATTTCCAGCTTGGAAATGTTCTACATGGGACTACCCTTGAATAGCAATAGCACTTAGATTTATATACTGCTCCAAGTGCTTTACAGCATTGTCTGAGTGGTTTATAGGGTCAGCATATTGCCCCCAACAATCTGGCTCTTCATTTTACCAACCTCGGAAGGAGGGAAGACTGAGTCAATGTTCAGCCGATCAGGATCAAACTGCTGGCAATTGGCAGAATTAGGCTGCAATACTGCATTCTAACTACTGTGCCACTAGAATCAGGAAGGTTCTGCTGGGACAAAATGCAACTATGAGAACAATTTGCCACCCAGAGTTGTTGGATACGAGATGGGCATCAAATACATTTCATAAAAGTTTGGGTACCCTAAAGATGGCACATACAACACCTCTGTTGTGTGAGCTGCATTGGGTGTTGGCAGTGGTGAAATTCATTTTTTTTTTACTATCAATTCTGTGAGCGTGGCTTGGTGGGCATGGCAGGGAAAGGATACTGCAAAATCTCCATTCCCACCCCACTCCAGGGGAAGGATACTGCAAAATCTCCAAATTTTGAGTAGTTCAGAGAACTGGCAAATACCACCTCTGGCTGTCCCCAGAGTGGGGTGGGAATGGAGATTTTGCAATATCCTTTCCCCAGGAGTGGGGACGGAATGGGGATTTTGCAGTATCCTTCCCCTGAAGTGGGGTGGGAATGGAGATTTTGCAGTATCATTTCCCTGCCATGCCCACCAAGCCACGCCCATAGAACCAGTAGTAAAAAAATTTGGATTTCACCACTGGTGTTATACCCATTACATCAGCCCATTTCTCAGGCAGAGAAGGTATATTACGGATCCCATAGGTTAAAGAATTTCGACTTGTGGAGTCCAGAAAAAGAGCATTCTCTGCTGTCTCTGCTTTTTGGAATATCCTCCCTCCCCCCCTCCTAAGTGAGACAAGCCCCCACTCCCCTGGCCTTTTGAAAGAGTTTGCCAATCCACATGGGGCTTGTAAACTTGGGATTGGCTAGCATCTTGAAGACCCTCCCCCGCCTTTAACATTTTTAATTTATTGTATACTAGTTTTATCTGGCTCCTTTTATTGAGATATAGTATTTTTATATACTATATACTACACAGGCATGGAGAGGGGCTCAGTTCACTTAAGGACATGTGAGATCCTGCAACGGCACAGTGGGGAATGCTGGGATTGCAGTTGTTCAGTGAAACAGTTGTGGGTATCTTGCTTATTGACCACTTTGCTGAACAACCAAGACTCTGAACAACTAACCATGGTCATAAAGTGAAGATTACCTATAGTTCTACTTCACCCCCTATATGTTTATAATTATTATTTTATGAATAAAGGTGAATATATATGTCCCAGGATAATGTTGCAGGATCCAATTTGGGTTGGTCACTGGGACCTAACGACCAACCCAATCTGGATCCTATATTATTATTTTAGCATCAGATCCTCCCATGCTATGTAGCGTATCATGCAGAATTATAATTATTAACATTACATAAAATGCCTTATAGAGAAACCAGCAATGTACAAACCTTTACTTGATAATTTGATATATATACCACATTCTCTTTACTTTTAGGCAAATCACCATACAGAATTACCTAGGAAAGGAGAAAAAGTACTTAGTTATCTTAATTATATAGAAATAAATTTAAAACCAAGGGTTAACTTTTGTTTCTTCTTCATATTTCTTCATAACTTTTGTTTCTTTCTTCTTCTTCCGTCAACTCAACTGATCCGTTGGGTGTACACTGTTATAATTTTAAACTGTTTTAATTGGGGTGTTGATTTTAATTTTTATCTTGTTGTAATTTGTATTGGAAATTGTCATTTTGTAAGCCGCCTTGAGTCCCTTGGGAGAAAGGCGGGATATAAATCGCAATAATAAATAAATAAATAAATATAGCCTGAAACTATATAATCAAAGGCACCGACAGATATACAGGCTTATTCTATGATTCAATAGTGGAGTTTTAAATGAAATCTAATTTCAAAAATCATGTTTTCTTGCAAAAGTCATCATGTGTATATTACTACAGTTAAGCCAACATGTATCCCTATATATATTTATTTCAATTCTTAAAGATGGGTTATGCTATTACCATATAACTTTGATATTCAAATTGTGCCCAATGTATAGTAAGAATGACTGAGAATGTGAATTCATCTATAATCCTGTTGTGAGATGGAAATGGGTGGTTTTTAAATTTGATATATAAATAAAAATAAAAAAAAATAATAAAGTGGGATGCCTGATCAGCCTCTGCAAATAGAACTGTACAGGTAGTCCTTGACTTACAACAGTACATTTAGTGACTGTTCAAAGTTATAATGGCACTGAAAAAAGTAACTTATAACCGTTTTTCACAGTTACCACCTTTGTAGCATATCCATGATCACATGATCAAAATTCAGGTGCTTGGTTTATACTTATGACCGCTGGTCACGTGATCCCCTTTTGCAACCTGTTGACAAGCAAACTCAATGGAAGCCAGATTCACTTAACAGACATGTTACTAACTTAACAATTGCGGCGATTCACTTAACAATTGTAGGAAGAAAGGTCGTAAAATGGGGCAAAACTCACTTAACAAATGTCTCGTTTAACAACAGAAATGTTGGACTCAATTGTGGTCGTAAGGCGAGGACTACCTGTATTTAGACAAGGCTGTATCTCTCTAAGAATTCACAGTTAATTTATTCCAAATGAGTATGGATAAAATACAACCTGTGAAATGCAATACTTCACTATCCTTGGTGTAGGAGAGGACCCTGACAAGTGAGGCCAACTTCCTCTTGTCAGTATTTGCAATGCTGGTCGAGTCTGAACTGAGCACACAGGACTCTGCCTCTTCTCGACTGCCGCTCAACCAGCCCCAACAAAGCGTCCTCTGCTCGGGCTGGGAAGTCTGCAGAGGCATCTCTCTCTCTCTCCCGGCCCCTTTCCGGCCTCTCTGGCTGGGACGTGACGGCGCAGGGCGGGCTTGGAGGGCCGAGCGGGAGAACGGAGTCCCCCAACCTCAGCACAGCCCGCGAGCCGCCCTCCCTCACCTGCACGCCGGTGTAGTTCTCGAAGAAGAAGAGCACCATGCTCTGGTAGATGGTGTAGAGCCGGTCGTCCACCTGGTGGTAGAAGCGGGCGGGCAGCAGGGCCGAGAACAGCCGCCAGGCCCCCCAGGCCAGGATGTAGGTGGGCGCGGTGCCCAGCATGACGGCGGCGGGCAGCACGTAGCGCATGGAGTAAGTGTGCAGCAGCACCGACAGCAGCATCTTCTCTCCTCCGCCCGGGGCGCGATTCGGCTTCTGCTCTCCTCGCCCGTCGCCGCTGCGCTCAAGCGCCTCCGCTCCCTCTCACGGCCGTGGGCTCCGGCTGCCGCCGGGAGAGGAACAGGAGGAAGAGGGCACGGCCCTCCGCAGCCGAAGTGGAAGCAGCATGGGCGGGCACGGGGTGGGTGGGGAGGCGACTGCTCAGGCAAACGTCGCCGCCGTCGCCCCCCTTGGCTGAGGCTCTCACCTTTTCTCCCGCCCGGCTCGGCTACAAAACCAGCTCCGCTTCGGTCGTCGATAGCCGCAGAGGAGACTTCAGGGGTCCTAGAAGCCGCTTTCTCCGCCCTTGTCTTTACTCAACTCCCGCGGGGAGGGTTTGTTGTTGTGGAAAGGCGCGAATAGTTGGCGGGGCCGGGACAGAGCGGCGGCGGCTCGCTGGGTGGCGGCGCTGGTCCTCGATCTCCGACAGGCGGGAGGCTGAGCGCCAAGTCCGGAGTTAGGCGTCTCGGAGGTCCCTGTCGTGGCTCACGGAGTAGCCACTAAAGTTAGGTCAAAGGAAAGAGTAAAGTGGACTTTTAAAGTAGAGTAAAGCAGAAGGAGGGACTGCATTGGTAAAAGAGGCTGAAGAACAAGAGTTAGAGGGGTTTCACCATTTTTGGGTTTTGGTCGGTTTCAAATTTTTTTACTACCGGTTCTGTGGGCGTGACGTAGTGGGCGTGGCAGGGGAAGGATACTGTAAAATCTCCATTCCCATCCCACTCCACGGGAAGGTTACTGCAAAATCCCCATTTCCTCCCGATCAGCTGGAGGAAACTTGGGAAGCAGAGAATAGATGGGGGTGGGGCCAGTCAGAATTTTTACTACCTGAATTTATCAAAATTTCCGCTACCGGTTCTGCAGAACTGGTCAGAACCTGCTGAAACCCACCTCTGGCTTTCACTATGATATACAGACTGTCCTCAACTTCTTCGTTTAGTGGCTGTTCCAAATTACAAAGTTGCAGAAAAGAGTGACTTAACAATTGTTTCTCGCACTTATGACGGTCATAGCATCCCCATGGTCATATGATTAAAATTTAGGCGCTTGGAAGCTGGCATATATTTAGGACAGCTGCTGCATCCCAGAGTTAAGTGATTATCATTTGCAACCTTCCCAGCCAGCTTAGGACAAGCAGTCAATGGGGAAAGTCAAATTCACTTAATGACTGCATGGTTTGTTTAACAACTGCAGTGATTCACTTAACAACCATGGCAAAAAACCATAATAAAATTGGGCATGACTCACTTAACAACCAACTTGCTTAGCAATGGAAATTCCTAGCCCTGGCATTCTGAGTTAACAATGGTTCAAATGCAGCAAAAGGAAAGAGTAAGAGAGCCATTGGCATTGAGGGGGAAAAAAAATAAAACTAAGCTAGATGAGCTAATATTTGGGGGATTAGTATCTTTCAATCTAATCTGTGTTACAAGGTTATGAGGCTAATGCCGAGAAAATGTCAACTACATTGCTTATGGTCCTTCATGGAAGGGAAAGACAGGATATAAAAATGTGATGAATAATAAACTATCCATGGAAGAAAAATCTCAGGAAATGCCAGTTACATTTTTCCCTTGAACATTTTGGCTTCGATGCTGCTGAAAGCCACTTGTATAAATTGTTCAAGCTGTGATAGTCCCCACAGTGATCCCATCTGCTATAAGAAAGAGTGGGGCATCTATACAAGCTCAAATTTCCAGAACCAAGTGGACCATGAGTGACACAACAGCTATATATTTGAAAGTATATTGATTTCATTTTTAAGATGTAATGTAGCTTTAATTGCTTTACTGCAACTGTCTTATGTAAATTCTCATCCTCCAAAAAAATGTAGAATCTGAAACTGAAATTCTAATTAATCTGATAGGCCTAAGCTGCCATGAAGCAAACATGTAAACAGGATGGACAAAAACTGGAAAAGCTCCCTCAGAAAAAAGTAGTTAAGAGGGAATCAAATCTTTAAAGAAGGAAAGAAAAAAATCTCACCTGAATCAGATAAAAGAAGCTGGGCCTGAACACATGAGAAGCCCCCACCCAAGTCTCACAAACCAGAACAAAGCAAGAACTTTGGGGATAAAAGGGATCCTGAAGCCCACCACCTCTAAGTTGTATTTGTACAATAAGTGTGGATGAGTGTGTGTACGTATGTGAAAGAGCAAATAAATACACATTGTAACCAATAAAGTTTGCTTTTATCTTAAATTCACTGGGTCTCCTTTTATTCTGAAAAACTCTGCCTCAGTGTTTGGTTGAAAGTGATTGAAAGTGACACTCAAATCACTTTCAACCCAACCGAACACTGAGGCATAAACAGTTCTTTAGAATACAAGGAGACCATCAGCTGAACCTGGGAACAGACATG